GCTTGCCAGGGAAGCACTTACTCTACTGAGCCATCTCCCCGCCAAGAAACCCATTATCTCTTCTAACCCAGTCCTCCAGCCTTAGGCCTCCCAAATAGAATCTACAATGTATCTTTTGTAAGTGATTTCCTTAGCATAATTTTCTCAATGTTCATCTTTGTTGAACCATGTCAGAATTTCATTCTTTTTTATTTTATTTTTTATTGCATATATTGATCATATTTATTTAATATTCATCAGTTGGTAGACACGGGTTGTTTCTACTTTGGAGCTGTTGTGAATAATGTGATGAATAGTCATGTACAAGTTTTTCTATTATGTGTTTTGAGTTCTCTTTGGATATAACTAGGAGTGAGATTGTTGGGTCACTGTTTGAAGAACCATCAAACTTTTCCAAAGTGATTCCGTATTTTACATTACCACCAGAAATGTACAAGACCCCTTACATCAGCACTTGTTGTTTGTCTTTCTTGGTACTTCACTGGGCTGTTGGTTTGCATTTCCCTAATAGCACAGCTGCACTTTAAAAGGTTCCTTCGGCCACAGCTTAAAATAAGTTGGATGGAGAAAGAGGCTAGAAATGGGCAGATTTGAGGACATTGCAGTGATGCAGTTGAGATGAGGTGGGTTGTAGCCTTGGGCCCTGACTTGAAAGAGAGAAGGATTTAAAGCAGGAGTTGTAAAGCTGGAATTGACAGTGAGGATAAGTCTTTGGGTCGAAGGGACCAGGAAAGTTGAGATTGTCGCTATAATTTGTAGCCTGAGCCAGATGTAAATAAAGACACCTTCATTGGCTGCCCAAGTAGAAGTAGGGCCCATGGGGAATCAAGGTACCCACAAGCCATGTGGGAACAGCTGTTTGTGTTACTTCAAAGTAACTAGAAAATGGTTTCCAGGAACTGATGCCACTCATGCAGAGCACATTGAGACCATCAAAGCCCGGATGTATGTTGGACTCACCTCTGACAAGCGGTTCCTCCCTGGACACCTAGGCATGGGACTAGTGGAAGGTAAAGGAAGAAAGAGCTTGCCCAAGCCCTGAGGGTATCCTGTAGAGCCTCACAGAGCACTGCTTTTTCCTGCAGGTTATGACTCCATGGGCTATGAGATGTCTAAGCCTGACCTCCGAGCTGAGCTAGAAGCTGATCTGAAATTGATCTGTGAAGGCAAGAAGGACAAGTCTGTAGTTCTGAGGCAGCAGGTGCAGAAATATAAACAAGTTTTCATTGAAGCAGTGGCTAAGGCGAAGAAGTGAGTACCATACTCTTGCTCTCCTGCCCCAGAGGTCTTGTAGCCCCAGGCACTGGTGATAGCAATTCCCATAAGAAACAAGAGTTCTTGGGAGCAGTTGGGTTGGGGCACTAACACCACACACCTACACACACACACACACACACACACACCCGTACCAGCACCTTCATTAACTGTGGGGGGGAGCCAGCCACACAGGCTCTGCTCCTTTGGGTTTTCTTCCTTTGAAATGATCAAAACAGTCTGCCTCAATTAATTTGAGCTGGTGGGTATGGGAAGGCCTTTTCACTGAGCGGCATCCCCAACTCTTTTTAATTTTTTATTTTTATGTTTATTTGCTTTAAAATTTTGAGACGGGCCGGGGAGATTGCTCAGTAGAATAAGCGCTTGCCTGGCAAGTGGAAGGGCCTGAGTTCAATCCCCAGCTCCGAAAAAAAATTAAAAAAAAAAATAAAATTTTGAGACAGAGTATCACTAAGTTGCTCAAACTTACAGTTATCTTGCCTCCCAAAGTGCTGGGATTACAGGTGTGAAGTTCAGAGTGAAGGCTCCAGCACCTTGCATTGCTAGGCAGGTGCTCTGATTTTGAAGCAACACTTGGTAACTTCCAGACTGCCCTCAAACCATCCTGCCTGAGCATCCCAAGTAGCTGGGATTATAGGCCTGTGCCACCCCACTCAGACAAACAGACATCAGTAAATCCAAGAATCTTAAGTTCTGAGCTGGGGATATAGCTCAGCAGCATAAGCACCTGTCTTATAAGCACAAGGTCCCAAGTTCAATCACCAGTACCACCAAAAAAAAAAAAAAAAAAGTACGTTCTGCTATATGATCTATCTATCATTTGGAGTTGTCTGCTTAAGCCGGGTGTGGTATACTCCTGTAATCCTAGTACTTTGGAAAGCTAAGGCAGGAGGATCAGATCCCATTTTGACACTTCAGTGACTTAGACACTGTTTCAGAATAAAAAAGGGCTAGGTTTATAACTCAGTATGAAGGCCCTGGGTTCAATCCCCAGTACTACAAAATAAATAAGTGAATACATAAATGAACAGTGTTGGTCATTTAGCAAGCAGCATGTGTCTAATTTGTTATTTAGAAATACAGTACGTTTTCTACTTATGATACTATGATTTATAGCACATATATTTGCAGCCAGGGATATAGCTCAGTGGCACAGTGCTTTCCTGGCAAGCACAAGGTCATGAGTTCAAGTCCCAGCACCAAAAAAACAAAAAAGTAAAATAAAACATTCATAAAAGAAAACAGAAAACATTCATATATATATTCATATATATATTTTTATATATACAACATTCATATATAAACATTCATATATATTTTTTATATATTATAAATATATAAAAAATATATCCCCCCCCCATTTCCTAGCACTACAGGTCCTAAAACCCTTGGAATCTCCAAATGCTAAATGTCTTGTTTGCTAATCAGATAACTGGCAGAGAGGGAGACACCTGACAGCCCCTGGATGGGGGAGGCTTGCTGTCAGGGGAACCAACCATATGATTAGAAATTGAAACTTTCAACTTCACTACTCTCTCTCCATTCCACCTTACACCTCTGGGGAGGGTAGACAATGCTGAAAGTTGAGTTGATCACTTGGTCAGTGAATTACCAATCAGACCTAAGTAATGAAAGTTCCATAAAACCCAAAAAAGCAGTGTTCTAAAAGTTTTCCAGTAGTGAAATGTGGAGGTTCTGGAAGCCAGCACATGGAAACTTCACATCCCTTCTGTGCTCCTTGCCCTGTGCGTCTCTTCTATCTAGCTGTTCATCGGAGTTCTGTAAGCTGTGCTGGCAAATTAAACCTGAGAAGGGACTAATGGGAAACCCAGTTTATAGCCAGTTAGTTCATAGTTTGGAATTTACCATTGGCCTCTGAAATTAAGGCAGTTTCGGGTACTGAGCCCTCAACCTTTGAGGTGTTTTTTTGTTGTTGTTGTTGTTTGTTTTATTTTTTTTGCACTTGCCAGGGAAGTTCTTATTCTATTGAGCCATCTCCCCAACCCCTCCTTTGAGTTCTCATTGCTGAGCAAAATACCCAACACTTGCAACTTAAAATGGGAGTGGTTTATTTTGGCTCACATTTCTTTTTCTTCTTTTTTTTCTTTAAATGTATTTAGTACAGGGTTTACAGGGTCTCACTACACAGATTGAACTTATGATCCTGCTGTTTTCAGCCTCCCAAACACTGGGATTACAGGTGGGCGCCACCATGCCTGGTCTCAGTCACTAGCATGTCCCAGTGGCAGGGCCCGCACGGCATGTGGAGCCAGGGATTGAACCCTAGTCCATGCACTTTGTCTAAGCAGGCGCTTTAGTCCACTCAGCTATCTGGCCAACTGTTGGCTCACATTTCAATCTATAGTCAGCTGACTCTAGAGGAAGAGGGGAATAATAGAGGAAAGCTGCTGACAGCATGGCAGATGGGAAGCAGAGAGAGTCAAGGGAGAAGCTGGGAATGAAAATACACTCTTATGGGTCATTCCCATGGTGACCCGCCTCTTCCAACCAGAATCTTTATTCTTCTTGGAGGGGGCGGGGGTACTGGGGCAGAGACTCCCAGAACTCAGGACGTTGCTCTTGGCCAACAGGTGCTTACACCACTGAACTAGCACTCCCAGCCCCCAGAACCTCACTGATTCCAGAATCTAGTAACCTTTTGAAAGCCCCTCCTTAAGCACATGAGGCTTTGGGGGAACATCTAGACATAAACCATAACAGGGTCTGACTAATTCCAAATAGATTGCCTTTGAAGTGAATTTGAGGACAACCAGCTGGACTACTGTGTGGCATGTGGGGGAAGGACTCCCACACATCTTTATGTGTATGGTAGAAAAATGACAGTTTTGCAGGGTTTTTTCTGTGGGGTATTTTTTTCTTTTGTTTTGGAAGCTGTCTGCTGCCAGTTCTCAAAAGAAATTCATGAAGGGGCTGGGGAGATGGCTCAGTGGAATAAGCGCTTCCCTGGCAAGCGCAAGGGCCTGAGTTCAATCCCTGGTTCCACAAAAAAAAAAAAAAAAAGAAAAGAAATTCATGAGCTAGCATTAAATGCTAACAGACACTTTTGGAGTTCATACCTGAACCCATTGTAGTTTCTTATGTGTGTGCCTGTAGCTGCGCTACTTTGAGGAGCCAGGGGTCTGAGAGGAGCCATTTTTGTGAACCAGTTTCCTCTCTGCCTTCTCTGCATCAGATCAGCTGGTTCCCTGCTGCATGTATTATGAACACATACAAGTCTCAAATACCCTTGCAGTGATTGCCAGCTGCTGTGTGTCTTTGCTTTTCCTTCAGGTTGGACGAGGCCTTGTCCCAGTACTTTGGGGAAGGGGCAGAGACACCCCAGCAAGAAGAGGTCTATCCAGCCATGCCAGAGCCCATCCAGAAGTGCCCGCAGTGCAACAAAGACATAGTCTTAAAGACCAAGAAGAGTGGTGGGTCAGTGTCCAGCGTCTGTCCCCACCTCTGCTTGCTAGCACCTGCAGTGGTAGCCAGCCTGCTCTGAAAGACCCTGTCATTTTGTGTCCAAGCCCTGCTGTTGGTCCCTGAACAAGGTGTTAGAGCTAGAAGGATAGCAGAGTGGGATCTGGGTATAAAGCGCCCTGGGAATAATAGAAGTGGGAGACTGAGAAATAATACAGGTTTTTTGGTACTCTACATTATACTGACATTTACCCAATGTGCAGCAAATGGAGTTGGGGCTTCAGATCCAGATATGTCCCTGAGTTCAGATCACAGTTCTGCTATACATGGAAGCTGCATGCCCTGAAGCAGTTTATTTGACTATACTGATTCCAGTGTTTTTCCCTAAAATAAGGTAAATAGTATTTGCTTCACAAATCTCTGTTAAGTGTGGGAATGTGAAAAGGGGAAAGACTACAGGATGTGTATCGCTGGACAGGGCACTCCCAGAATCACATGGCCTGTCTTGGCCCAGCTATCGGGACTAACAAGCTGGCCACTGCAGGAAGTTCATGGGGAAAGAAGTACTGAAAAGTGGAGGCAGCCGTGCTTCCTATGCCTTTCTTCTGTCTGATATGGAGCTGGGTATTCTACAGATATTATTTCATTGGGTCTTCATAATCCTTCCCTGTAAGGAAGGTGGTAGGTAGGTAGGTAGGTTTTTGACAGAGGATCTTGTTTTGTAGTACAGGCTGGCCTTGAACTTTGAACTCACAATGTAGTCCATGCTATCCTTAAACTAATGGCAGTCCTCTTGCCTCAGCCTCCCAAGTGCTGGAATTACAGGTATGCACTACCACGCTGGGCAAGGAGGGGTTTTTTTTTATTATTATGTATTTAGTACAAGGTCTATAGAGTCTCGCTATATAGTTAGGCCTTGTAGTGATTCTCCTGTCTTCAGCCTCGCAAGTGCTGCGATTACAGGCATGCGCCACCATACCCAGTCACAATCACCATCTCAGTGCACCCTAGAGGCAGGGCTACTGCGCTCTGCCTAAGCAGGCGCTTTAGTCCACTGAGCTATATGACCGGCCCTACAGAGGGTTTGGTTTTGTTTTGTTTTTTGTTTCACTTTTTTTTTTAAATTTATTTTTCTATTTTTTTCCCCTAATTTTATTGAGAAACAAATAGCAATGAGACAGTTTCAAACCAAATTGGTAGGACAGTTTCGTCTTCTTTTTTTTTGTTTGTTTTAATGTTTAGTTGGTTTTTTTTTTAAATTTTAGTTATTTATGTGTGTGTGTGTGGCCAGCTCAGCTCACCAGGGGGCGGGGCTGGCTGGCATGTGGTGCTGGGGGATTGAACCACAGTCCCTGTGCTTTGCTAAGCTTGTTCTGAGTAGGTACTTTAGACCACTGAGCCATCTCCCCAGCCCCAGTAGGACAGTTTCAATAATTAACACATTGCATGCATTCTTCCTAGTGGTTACGGAGGGTATTTTAAAGGTAGGTGTTTTGTTTTTGTTTTTAATGTCTTATTTATTTATTTGATACAGGGTTTTACTATGCAGCTCAAACTTGTAGTGATCCTTCTACCTCAGCCTCCCCAGTGCTGGGATTACAAGCCTGTGCCACAACGCCCCAACTCTAGCTGGTTCAGCCCACCCTGGGGGTAGGGCCCTGCACAGCATGTGTTGTCAGGGATGAATCTCGGTCCTTGCATTTGCCTAAGCAAGTGCTTTAGTCTGCTGAACTATCTCTCTGGCCCCTTTAAAGGTATTTTAAAGAGTAATAAGCAGACACTCTGGGAGGCTGAGACAGGAGAACCACAAGTTCAAGCCCAGCCTGGACAATTTAGTGACTTAGCAGACCCTTTGTCAAAATGATTAAAAGGGCTGGATATTGTGTGGTTCAGTGTGAAGACCCTGAGTTCCTTCCCCTATACTTTCTGAAAAAAGTGATAATGGAACTCAGAGGGCTTGGGAACTGGCTTTGAATATGCAGCTGTAATGAACAATAGAGACAGAACAAATTCTGGTCCCAGGTCCCTGCTGCTTTTTTCCACTCTTCATTGCCTACCTTGGACTGTTTATAGCACTGCTACTTTCTGTTTGTTTGGGTTTTTTTATTTTATTTTACAACAAAGATAAACACAAAATTTATTACATGTCAAAGGCATGAGTATTAAAATAGAAATTACATGTGGACTCTTCATTACATAAAATAGTTTATGAATATTGCAAATTTGATATTGTTAAAATTTAAATGTTAATATTCCCAAGGGACAGGAACAATTTTGTGGG